CTCTAGTCCCTCCTCTAGTCCCTCCTCTAGTCTCTCCTCTAGTCCCCTCTGGAGTCCCCTCTCGAGTTCCCTCTTCTAGTCCCTCCTTTAGTCCCTCCTCTAGTCCCCTCTCTAGTTCCCCTCTCAAGCCCCCTCTCGAGTTCCCTTCTCTAGTTCCTCCTCTAGTCCCTCCTCTAGTCCATCCTCTAGTCTCTCCTCTAGTCTCTCCTCTAGTCCCCTCTGGAGTCCCCTCTCTAGTTCCCCTCTCGAGTCTCCTCTCGAGTCTCCTCTCGAGTCCCCTCTCAAGTTCCCCCTTGGTTCCCCTCTCGAGTTCCCCCTTGGTTCCCCTCTCGAGTCTTCTCTCGAGTCTCCTCTCGAGTCCCTACTTGAGTCACGTCTCAAGTCCCTACCCAATGTCCTGGTCCGTTGGAGGTTCCGCTGGGGGTCCTGCCAACTCCATGTCTGTCTCGTTGGAGGTCCCGCCGTCTACTCTCCTGCCGGGGGTCCTGCCAATCCCATGTCCTGTCCCGTTGGGGGTCCCGCCGTCTACTCTCCTGCCGGGGTCCTGCCAATCCCATGTCCTGTCCCGTTGGGGGTCCCGCCGTCTACTCTCCTGCCGGGGGTCCTGCCAGTCCCATGTCCTATGCCGATGGAGGTTCCGCTGGGGGTCCTTCCGGCTCCATGTCCAGTCCCGTTGGAGGTCCCGCAAACTACTCTCCTGCCGGGGGTCCTGCCAGCCCTGTGTGCTGTCCCGTTGGGGGTCCCACCGACTGCCCTTCTGTCGGGGGTCCTGCCAACCCTGTGTACTGTCCCGTTGGGGGTCCCGCCGACTGCCCTTCTGCCGGGGGTCCTGTTAACCCTGTGTCCTGTCCTGTTGGAGGTTCCGCCTACTGCTCTCCTGCCGGGGGTCCTGCCAATCCTGTGTCCTGTCCCGTTTGGGGTCCCGCCGACTGCCCTCCTGGCGGGGGTCCTGCCAACTCCTGGTCCTCTTCCGTGGGGGATCCTGCCGAGGCCTGTCCCACCAGCGCCGGTTCCTGTCCGGCCGACACCGGGTTCTGCCCGGCCTCCTGAGAGCCGCGGTCTTCGCCCTCGAGCCCGGCCCCCTGAGAGCCGCGGTCTTCGCCCTCGAGCCCGGCCCCCTGAGAGCCGCGGTCTTCGCCCTCGAGCCCTGCCCCCTGAGTGCCGCGGTCCTCGCCCTCGGGCCCGGCCCCCTGACTCTTCCTGCCACTACCTTCGCCCCTCCATAACCCCCTTTTCAAGCTCTGCCTTGCCCCTGGGCTGTCAGCCCAAGCCCGTCCTCCAGACCCCCTCCACCCACCCTGTTGGCCCTAGTTTTGTGTCCCTCCTCCGGTCCCCCTCCACCCACCCTGGTGGCCTACGTCCCTCCTCCGGACCCCCTCCACCCACCCACCCTGCTTGTGGTTTTGGACTTCTTGTGGTTTTGTTTTGGGACGTCTGGGATCCGTCCCTTGAGGGGGGGGGGTACTGTTAGGATCTGTCTGTGTTGTAGTTTTGTATGTCTGGGTATTTTCATGTGGCCCTTGTGTTTCTCCTCCCCTGCCCGGCTGTGTCTCGTCTTGTGATTACCCCTTCCTGTATTTAGTCTTGTCTCTTCCTGTGTTCAGTGTCGGTTCGGCTTGTGAGTAAACTGCGGTGAGTGTTCTGTCTCTGAATATTGTAGCCTTGAAATAAAGGAATTATTTTGTCACTTAAATCTGCATTTGGGTCCTGCTTCCTGCAGACCATAACAGAAAGACATCACATTGGACTTTGAGAAACTTGGATGGACACTTTTCCAACCTCTTAAAGACCAAATTGTTTATCGATAAATGTAGAAAGTAATTGGCAGAATAATTGACAATGAAAATTATTGATTGTTGCACTAAACACTATAACGCTGAACTGAGTTTGCAGTCAGACATTATCTCTTCTTTCCCCAGTGGAGACCCACACATGAGGCAAAAGAACAACCCATAAAACAGCCATCAATATCTAATGACTCACTGTTCCAGGGTGCGGGCCAGAAATCACGAGAAGAAACACATTTTACAAAAAGCATTTGACATCTAATATACATTTCTTCCAGAGTCAGCATTCTTTTGGTATAATTAGCACTCTGGAAACATGTTTTATGAACCTATCTTGCATGAGGAGTTCATTAAAGTCCATCCAAAGTGTTTTAATGAGGGGTAAAAGAGAGAGAAATCCCCTGCAGAACTGTAGCCTCGGCGTTGGCCTGTGGTGCAGCTGTGACAGAGGATTCCTGATTCACAAACTACAGTGGAATAATCAAATTAATGTTAGAAAAAGAGGAGAAATCGAGTAGAAAGTCTCACATAAAGTGAAGTATCCTTGGCAATACAGCAGAGGGTGTATATACTGTAAGGCTATACACATTTACTATTTGTCCCCGAAATATGACTTCCCAGATGTTTATGTAAATCATCCAATAGTGCTGGAATAAAAAAATAATATATTAGCTATAGTTTGTGACTAAAAATAATTGCAATACCCGATTAAACATTGAATCGTTATTTATCTTGTAAAAATGCATTTTACCCGTTTAGATCATTAAGTATTTTAGGGTTTTTAGACTGTTGTGATACAAAGCAAGCAATCTGAAGAAAAAGCTTAAGGGAAAAAGGAATGTCAGGATATGTTGTTCCTTGCTTATGAATTTACAGCAGATATTTTGATCTCAATCACTGTTATGTCCTTAGTTCATTATGTAACACAATTCGCCGCAGTTAGCACCAATCCAAATGAACTGTTTTTGTTGTTCGTTGCAGACTAATAAGAACAGTCACCCTTGATATAATCAAACACAACTTCATAACATTGGATAAAACGCAACACTTTTAGCCTCAGGAGAGAAAATAAGAGCAAATTGAGTGTGGGATGAACTGAGTTTTTAATACAGCATGACCCTACATGTAGTGGTGAATATCTTTCAGACTGTACAATTGTTAATAATGTGGATTATCTTGGTTGTCAGTGTTATGCTCGAGTATTACTCTGAAGAAGAACAAAATATCTGCATGCTGACAGCAAGGTTGGTTTGAAATCACAAATATTTGATGCTCTTATGTTTAATTTAAACAATTATATAAACACCTTTTGCTCTGGCCTGTCTTACGTGCTGTCATTCTTTACACATACAGTGCTATATATAAGCCTACACTTTATCTGAGACACACCCAACATGCATAATTAGCAAGCATGTATTTATGGGAATAATCATTTGAATTTCAAATGATATGTTTTATGCATATGCTCTGCTACACTTCACATCTTACAATGTGTCGTCAACGCAACTCAAGGCCATTGTTCATTATCAGCAACACACATGATTTTTAATAGCTAATTAACACTCAATGGAATATGATGTATGATGGTGCTTCTGACGGCAATTTGTTTGTAAAAAATATGCATTTACATACAAATATTAACAGCAGTTAATAGTGCTGCCGGGAACATCTGGGTGATCTACTTATGGAAATGCCAACTCAAATCCTATGAGAGCACTAAAGGGAGAGCAGGGAGGCACTTTAAGTGAACTAATATGTTAATACAAGATGGTGGTGTTGTAAATAATAAGACAAAAGGCTTATGTCAACTGGGTAAAGGTACATTTGAGTCATTAAGCTCAAATATAAAAGACATGTATTGGCTTTTCATTGGATAATGCAAACTGTCTGTATTGTTTTTCCATTATGAGAAGACTACTGATACCACTTTTGATCAAACTTCAAATGTGTAAAGGGATCAGTTAAAAGTTATTGCCAAAAGTCTGTATATGGTTTTATAGGTTAGCATTTCTACTCATGCCCAGTGTTACAGCATGAGGTCTCCAATGACCATCGCTAACAGGAAGTAAATAGCTATATGCTCTCAGATGCTTGTCCATGTGTCATTGCTCCCCACTGAGTGGTTTTATTTCAGGTAATATTGACCCAATCAATATTTGTAGAAGTCAGCATTTGTTCAAACATTTATTAAAGAGGTTTTTTTGTTTCCAGACTATAAAAACATTAAGCTTTTAAACGTTCACCCTTTGATGTTTGTCAGTGTGCCCTGATGAATGGGTCGCTGTTATGTATGAACGTCAGGCAGCTCAGCGGAGCAAGAAAAATCACTAATGCTACAGCTGCAGAAAGGATATTGATCGGTTTCTTTGAGTACAAAAATCAAGGAGCTGTTATCAATGTCACTAGAAATGTAAGAAGGTACAAAGCGGCTCCTTCCAGCACTCTCTTCCTCATACACTTTCCCAAAACAACATTTCACAAGATGAGAAAGCACTCTGTATGGACGCAATTCCTATGCAATGCTCCTCTGCTTTACAACATGACCAGCAGTTTGCTCCGTGGATGGTATTGCAGAAGAGATTTGTGCTCAGAATGAAATTAATCCAGTATGAAATCAAGAGTCCAGTGGTGAACCTCAGGGAAGCCCACAGAGGACACTCATGATGCCGAGCATCGCGGCTATCTTCCATCAGAGCTCATTGCTCTGCAGGCAACATTGTGCATGGGTCTGCATGACAAAACATGCCCCGTCATCCATGCAACAACACAACACTGGTACACTTACTGTACTGATGGTATTCAAAGTATTTAACATCAGATACACTGACATTTCTCTCCGGATCAGTTTTTGGCATGAGCAAAGAAAAGCCCTGAGTTTTACGAGTGCACAAAGGACAAGTTCTGCCTCCCAGAGCAACATCACTTTTTTTTATTTGACAGCCGCCTTTAGATCAAATGGCTTGAGGATCCATTGCTGTTCAATCCAGACAAGGTCGAAGCATGCTGTTTTTCTGCAGCCTATTAGCTAATTCTCCTGGCTTTTCAGCCGTTTCAATATATCCAGAAACAACATCAAGCAGGCCGTGGTCTCATTAGCACTGGCTCTCGAGTTGCAGTCACAACTGGGCAGAAGATGCTAATGAGGGCATTACATGAAGACAGAATATCCACTATAGTCCTGAGGGTTGGAGAACAAATCTGAATGTTTTGTACCTTTCTGTACCTTGATGCAGGGGCTGGAGAGTCTCTTGTTGTGGTCAAAGAAGAGCAGGCTCAGAGAAGAAGAAATCCTGAAACCCAAACAGGTGAATCAGCTTCAGTAGTCATAAACAACACAATGCCACAGTGTATATTGCACATTGCTAAATAATGGTTTATGTCTGAAAAGCTGCGTTGGTGAATATTGGCAGCTTAGTTTGATTTGTGGATATGCACATTATCAATAGCCCTTTGTTAACGGTGCCATTGTCCTCGGAAATGTTTATTTTATCGTGACATCTATTTCATTTATTTGGAAAATCAATTAGCTTTCTGAGAGGCAGAAATCTCTAGAGATAAAGCATTTCAATTAAAAACCATAGATGAGATTAGAGAAATGCTTCCTGAGGCAGTACAACTCCAGGAACACATATCATGAAACAGTTGGAAAATGTTTCTACTTAAAGTTCAACTTTCAACTTTTTTATTTTTTAAGGTTTCATATCCAGAGGTGATATGAAGAGATGACACTGGAGATCAAACGGATTGCTGTGAAGAGAAGCTACAAGTTCAATGTCGTGTGGCTTTTTTTCTTCTTCTGATATTACTGTAATTTACAAGGTGCAACATATCACACAGACCAGATATCAGACCCTATATAGGGCACCCTCGCAGTCTATCATTACATATAATATCCATTGTGTGACGCAGAGACTATTTCCAGTGACAAAGATCTGATCAACACGAGCAGAGATATCACACTGATTATTATCTGAAGACTGCTGTGGTTCAATTTGAAATGTGTTATTTATTAGCTTTTCCTAGGCTATTCTCCAGTCTCTTATCTGATCTCACTTTGATTTGTTTTGTGATTATCCTAATTGAGAGTTGCAGAAAAATTCCAGATTTGTGACAATTATGAAACAGTCAATCAAATATGTATTTAAAAAATTGTCAATCGCACCGCAACTACAAGAAGACCTTTAGCATGCCGTCAAAAATGAGCATGAACATATTCGAGGCTGATTGGGTCCAGTAGAATAAGAGATCAGCCTCGGAAAGACAGGCAGAATAATTACAATGTTTTCTTTAACTTGTTAAATTGTAGTTGCAATGAACTACGGTTTGAAAAGGTTTAAGTATGGCAAACAGCAAGGTAAGCAAACAGATATCAGGGAAACCAAGTCACTTTTATAAAATAATGACTTGCCTTCCCTGATGTTTGAAATAAAAATACAAGACAGAAACAATATCATGGCCCTGTGAATGCTTTTTCATTTGCGTGAAACTAAGGTAATAAGAGGCTCTGGCCCAGACGCTTGTTGGTTTTCATATCTTATTCCACATGGTGAGCATCAGTGGTGATATCTGGACGGTTATTGGATGTGTGCTACAGAGCAGAGACTGATCAGTGACCTTAACTGACCTCGGCTCGACCTCTGCGTGACGGGAGAAGCTGGGGCTCCTCAGGGTTGTGCGCGTTGATGTCTGACACCATTCACTCTGAGCATCATTTTCAGCTTAGCCACTGGGTTCATCTTTCATTAGCGTCAGCAGTGTATGTGTGTATGCTGCAGTAAACTCACCATTTGCATACAGGTGAATGGGTTCACATGTCTACTAGGATTTTGGGAAAAAATCTAATTGCGATTTTTCTGACAAATATTGTGATTGTGATTCGAATTGCGATATTTGTTTTGAAGCGACCCAACGGAAGTTGATTGTAAAATGCGGCCATAACTCCGGCTAGGAAGGTCGTATCAACGTGCTCCCGTCTCTAGCACCCCCGCAGCCCGAGCTACGAGTGAAAAAACTAAACTTACATGTAACTTCCGTTGGGTTGCTTTAAAGTCAAGCTTCAGTTTAACATTCACCCTGTAATAGAAACATGTGATGGAGCATCACTAACCTGACCCAGATGCTTTGTTTCACCAAACCATCTAAAGCTCCATTGGAAGCCATTTGGAAAGGGCAGGCACTTTCAGAAGCACTTGGCAGGTGATTGGATCAATCTGTCTATCACCTTCTATCATGGGCTACTTCTGATTAGTTAACAAAGGCTGGTACATGTGGAGCACAGCACTTCTGATTGGTGTGGATGACTGACACGCAAGAAAAAAGAAAAAAAAAATAGTAAAAAAGAAAAGAAAATAGTAAAAAAACAATAATGTTAAAAAAAATCACAGGCTTTGCGATTTGATAATCGCATCATTTAAAATCGCGATTTCGATTTGAAATCGATTAATCATTCAGCCCTAATGTCTACATTATAATTGTATTTCTTTGTGAAGGCCTGCAAGTGTGTGTGTGTAATTTAGATCTCAATATCATTTTAAATCCCTCTTTTTTACGAGAAGGGCTCCTAGAAATAAATTGAAACGACCTATCTGCTGGGCCACAAAGTGAGGCCAGAAGCATAATTGGCAGCCTGCAGCCATACTTGAATATGTCTGTGGTATTCATGAGATTGGAGCAGTAATGAGGCCTATTTTCCCAGAGTGATAATACAAACAGGGTAAACAAGATCAAGATGAATATCTTTGGAGCACTTTGAATTGCCTTGTGTTGAAAAGTGCTATATAAATAAATTGCCTTGCCTTGCCTTTTGCCTTGCCTGCCTTGCCTTGCTTGCCTTGCCTTGCCTTCTTGCCTTGCCTGCCTTGCCTTGCCTTGCCTTTGCCTTGCCTGCCTTGCCTTGCCTTGCCTGCCTTCCTTGCCTTGCCTTGCCTTGCCTTGCCTTGCCTCTCCTGCCTTGCTGCTTGCCTGCCTGCCTTGCCTTGCCTTGCCTTGCCTTGCTTGCCTTGCTTGCCTTGCCTGCCTTGCTGCCTTGCCTTGCCTTGCCTTGCCTTGCCTTGCCTGCCTTGCCTGCCTTGCCCTGCCTCTGCCTTGCCTTGCCTTGCCTTGCCTTGCCTTGCCTTGCCTTGCCTGCTTGCCTTGCCTTGCCTTGCCTTGCCTTGCCTTGCCTTGCCTTGCCTTGGCCTTGCCTTGCCTGCCTTGCCTTGCCTTGCCTTGCCTGCCTTGCCTTGCCTTGCCTTGCCTTGCCTTGCCTTGCCTTGCCTTGCCTTGCCTGCCTTGCCTTGCAGTTGCCTTGCCTTGCCTTGCCTTGCCTTGCCTTGCCTTGCCTTGCCTTCTGCCTTGCCTTGCCTTGCCTTGCCTTGCCTTGCCTTGCCTTTGCCTTGCCTTGCCTTGCCTTGCCTTGCCTTGCCTTGCCTTGCCTTTCCTTGCCTTGGCCTTGCCTTGCCTTGCCTTGCCTTGCCTTGCCTTGCCTTGCCTTGCCTTGCCTTGCCTTGCCTTGCCTTGCCTTGCCTTGCCTTGCCTTGCCTTGCCTTGCCTTGCCTTGCCTTGCCTTGCCTTGCCTTGCCTTGCCTTGCCTTGCCTTGCCTGCCTTGCCTTGCCTTGCCTTGCCTTGCCTTGCCTTGCCTTGCCTTGCCTTGCGCCTTGCCTTGCCTTGCCTTGCCTTGCCTGCCTTGCCTTGCCTTGCCTTGCCTTGCCTTGCCTTGCCTTGCCTTGCCTTGCCTTGCCTTGCCTTGCCTTGCCTTGCCTTGCCTTGCCTTGCCTTGCCTTGCCTTGCCTTGCCTTGCCTTGCCTTGCCTTGCCTTGCCTTGCCTTGCCTTGCCTTGCCTTGCCTTGCCTTGCCTTGCCTTGCCTGCCTTGCCTTGCCTTGCCTTGCCTTGCCTTGCCTTGCCTTGCCTTGCCTTGCCTTGCCTTGCCTTTGCCTTGCCTTGTTGCCTTGCCTTGCCTTGCCTTGCCTTGCCTTGCCTTGCCTTGCCTTGCCTTGCCTTGCCTTGCCTTGCCTTGCCTTGCCTGCCTTGCCTTGCCTTGCCTTGCTTGCCTTGCCTTGCCTTGCCTGCTTGCCTGCCTTGCCTTGCCTTGCCTTGCCTTGGCCTTGCCTTTGCTGCCTTGCCTTGCCTTGCCTTGCCTTGCCTTGCCTTGCCTTGCCTTGCCTTGCCTTGCCTTGCCTTGCCTTGCCTTGCCTTTGCCTTGCCTTTGCCTGCCTTGCTTGCCTTGCCTTGCCTTGCCTTGCCTTGCCTTGCCTTGCCTTGCCTTGCCTTGCCTTGCCTTGCCTTGCCTTGCTTGCCTTGCCTTGCCTGCCTTGCCTTGCCTTGCCTTGCCTTGCCTGCCTGCCTTGCCTTGCCTTGCCTTGCCTGCCTTGCCTTGCCTTGCCTTGCCTTGCCTTGCCTTGCCTTGCCTTGCCTTGCCTTGCCTTGCCTTGCCTTGCCTTGCCTTGCCTTGCCTTGCCTTGCCTTGCCTTGCCTTGCAGGGAACATTTCGTCAGCATAGTTCAAACACACTCACACATAGCCTCTCATTAGAACCTTCTGGAATATTTGACCACTAAAGGTGCTGTGGGTTAAAACAAAAACATATAAAAGGACGGCTAGGCAAAAATAAACAGTGCAGGATTTCGTTCTTCCATTTCTGACTTTGTGGTTAACTACAAGCTAGTATCAGGACATGTATTTACTCAATTAGATTGCATCCTTGGGGAATGTCTTTAAGCAACACTTTCGTAATGCGTAAATCGGTTGCCAGGACACATATGAAACAGTGTTAAAACAAAAACAATCAACTATAGTCAACAGGAAGTCCCTGGAGAATCATGATATTTAAAAATATAATAAATGCTAAATGACTAGTGATGCGTGGACTTGTACATTTGGAGTTAAAAAGACTAAACTATTGGGAGGGAAATAATGAACCAAGCTAACCTAATGCTATTTGGTCAGTCAGACATTGTTGGCATAGTACTATTTAAGTTATAAGAAGTTGTTTTGGTGGACTGCAATTTCAAAACTTATTTTATTCAGTGTCACGCCAAAAGTTTCCCTCAGGCTACCTCTTCTACTTTTCACTTCAAGCCAATACTTATTCAAGCAAATGTTAGGCTTGGAAAATGTCTGACTATGTACTGTAGGAAGCTTTCAATTCGTTTTTTAGGCCTTGAGAATATGTCTAACATATTTCGAATTGTTTCTTTACTCAATATGACACCTTTAACCCTAGAGCAAAATTGATCTTTGTAAGTTCCACTGCATATACGGAGGTCAATAACGCCGTCAATGCTGTATTGATCCTTTTAAAGTGCACATTG